AAAGTCTAATGGTTTGATTGCATAACTTGTGTTGAGACAGCTGTTGTAAAAATTCAAGGTTGACCTCGAGCACAGGGTGTCCAAAATGAGTTCCATACGTTTTCAGTTGCTTTATAAACGTGCCCGTGTTGTATGCAATGTCGTCGTCACTCTGACTTTGAATGAAGGCGTATCTACATTTTAACGTAAGCCCTATTTTCCATATAAATCAATGCTTTTTGGGGCTCACTTTGAAATGAAGATACACCTATACGCCAGGGGAGCGCCGATGTGGCTCATATGCAGACGAGAAACTCATTTTTCAGATTTTTTACCAATATGGATTCCTGGCACATTTTAATCTCTCTCGATCACAAAAATGTTTGAAAGTCCAATTAATTAAAGAATACCTTTTTATAAAAGTTGTAATGCGTAAAAAAAGGTACAAGTATATCATTATTGCTATGATATGGGTCAAAAACGTAGATCCACTTGGAGACTTAAACGCAAGGATAAGAAAACCGTCGACTAATCAGACAGTCGACGATGCACTCTAGTGGAATGAGACTACATTCAGACGAATTTGATGTTCTTAAAAATGTGAAAAATATTCAATGAATATGTCAAGGGTTGTTTTTGTTCATCCTCCATCGATAAGGGTACAGTCGGAGTAAAGATTTTGAAACACCGCAAACGAGTTAATTACACGTTTTTGCAATTTTATTGTCAATGTATCCTAGGATAAGCCTCAGCCATACTTCAAAAGACTACATTTCTTAGATTACTGTCACGAAAATGTAGTGAATTCTTTTACTCAAACGTTAATGAATGCTTTCTTATGTAAAGAAAAAAAAAATTAACCGCGCACTTTAGAAAAGAAACCTTTTATTGGTTAGTATGATGATTTGAATTACATTGTACAATGCAATAAAATAATTTCAGAATTTCTTGGTGAACTCCAGTTAAAATTCAATTAAACTTCGTATCATCTCATAAATTCTTCATACAAAAGAAGCCATTCCATCTTTTCCACCCGTCCGACTTTTCTTATCTCTCACCGATGACTGTCTCTGAAATGACACAATAAATCGTACCTGGTTTGTTCGTCGTAATGAATGTTAATTCTTGAGAAATGAAAATAATAAAAATTGCATAAGAATGCCCGCCCATCTCTGGCTCGGACAACGGCTTCAGCAGCGATGCCAAATCGTCCTGTATATTTTGACATTCTCATTGTAAGAACCGTACCAAATCGTTTATTTTTTTATGGCAAACGGCATCCCCGCGAACTCATTCGAGGCACAGGCGTGACCTTGCCAAACGGCTACTTGGTTCTTTCTCGGTAACAAACTCGAATTCCAGAGCAGCCGACACTTTCACCCAAGCTTCGGTGAAAAGTTTGCCTCCTCCTCAGCACCCCACCTCTTGGTTTGAGCTATCGCGATGTTGCCAAAATAGTTCTTGAAGTAAACTTCCGACACATTTGGGTATCAAAAGTTTGTCAGAGTTTTCCTATGACGGAATAATGGTGGGCTAAATGAATAATTTGTGGAAGGTAGATAATAGACGCGCTATTAACTTTCTAAGTTCATTTCATTTTAAGGTCAGTTTTCAACGTTTGAGTACCCCCAAAAAGGCATTTCATAAATAATAACCTGCACATGACCATTAGTATAAATCATCCAGAATAATTTTCAAAGGGCGCAATGGTGCAATCGAGACTAGTCATTCAGAAAAGTTGGACATCGATGGGTAAGAAACGATACTGCCAAAAACTCTCCACTGAGCTGAGTGCCGCTAGGCGGTCAATGGCTGAATTCAAAACGCCTTCACTTCCTTGTGTATGCAATTTTTAGCTTGCCATAGTTCGTTTTCTTTTTTCTCTCGATCCCTCTCTCATAAAAGTACTCGTGACAGGAAATCTTCAACGCCGCAAACTGACATGAGTAATTTGTACTTTCATCATGGGAATTCACAGTAATAAGTATCAAAATCCTAATCATACTCCTGGCTGATTTTGGCGTCAAGTATAAAAGTAGTTGCACCAGTTAGATGTGAGGTTGAGTTTGCCGAAAGTATCGTTGGATCATCCATGCCTCTGGCTAGCAGTGGCGTCGAGTGTTTTGCGATACATCGATTGATCTATCATTTAAACCTATGGAAAATTATCGATAGTCAAAGAGTTCGCAACAAACGCCTTAATAATCGATTCTTAACCATAATTTCAAATTAAGAAATATCGATAATCGATCATTTACGACTCACCACTGCTGGCTAGTGCAACTACTTCTATATCTAGAGCCAAAATTAGGGAGGAGTATAGTTGATGGGTTTGTGATACTTTATTTTTCGGTGTTACTTTTCGAAATGTGGCGACATTGCGCTGTAATATTCGTGTGCACCATGTGTGCACATGCAGCAACGCGAGTAAACAAGGAAATTACGCTCCGTTTTTTACAACTTCTGGTGTGTGGCCGGGGCCGGACTCTCACGCGGCTTGACCCAATGGATGGACCACCTGGCCAACCCGCGGCGCTCGCTGCGGAGCAAGCAAGTGGCCGCCATAAATCTGTCCTCAAGCCTCGTGCAATTAAACACATCTCACGAAAAATTAATGTCCGAGTACTCTCCAATAAGTTGGTAAACGGACGAAAAAGAATGTTGGTTGTTACTGGGTTCCTCATTATATAGGAGGATCCCCAGGAAATCTTGTAAGCAGCATTAGATTTCCAACAGTATATTATCATACGTTTGGTTATGTAAGCCAGGCGGGTGATGAACACTGTCAGGACTAAGGTAGTGGCAGTGGCTACTAGATTTCTTGAGAATTGCATAAATTGAGGAATCTGGTAATCACTGATATTTTTTCCGTGTCCGTGTGAAGTCTAAACGGTCCTTGAAAATTTACCAAATTTTTATTTTATTTTAATCATTTTTTCATCGAAATTGAAGGGTGATAGTGGATTTTCTTTCTAATATCCAAGACAAAGCATCCTAATGATTGGTCTCAATGATAAATGACATAGACGCCTTTATTTACCATGAGCTTTCAAATGTTTTCGACTGCCCCGTTGAATATGTTAAGACAAGGGTACTAGCTCCTGTTTGAACTTGGATCCTTTTACTTGCAACTTTTAAATCAGATCTGGATCAATTATTCTGAGTGTATGTATAAATGGTGATATACATTTACTTACCTATTTTATTTCAAAGCAATAGATCAATGTGTGCAATTGACAAACGCCTAAATTTGAGGAGGACCCTCTTGTGTAGTAAATTCAATCCGAATATTGCTCGGATCATCGAGTCTGTGAAGCTTTACCTTCCGTGCTGAAATTTTGAAATTTTTGTGACTATATGATGTAACCCTCTATGCCCGTTTTTTATGAGCCATGTTAAAACTCCGCAATTTCATTGGTTATGCAATATGAGCGACTTAGGAGTCGAAATAGTTGTATATGGCGTATTTTCTACTCTGTTGTGCAAAGCACTTAATGCATGAATATTTTTTAAAAAAAAACTCCCTTGCAAATTTACATTAATCCTCTCAATCTAGACGTTTTTCGAGGATTCTCCCCTCATCTGCTCCTCGGAGTTCTCGAAACGCTTCAAATCAGGGATATTTATGTACATGTGTAAGTGAGTATTTTTAAAATCTTGACAGTTAATGCAATATTCTTGTAAAGTCCTTTTGAGAAAAAGTTTTTACTTAAAGAATCCTCTTGAGCGGGGAGCCGCTTAATAGTTTTGGAAAACAATATTTTAAAATTTTTGTTTGTTATCCATTTTAAACAAACATCATGCATTCACCCTGTATTTTTTCTCTCATACTAGTTTCATTCTTCTAATTCCAATTTCCATCTCGCCTTCCTAAAATACAATACTTACATACTTCTTCACAAGTAACTTGCCACGTTAAATGTCACCCTAGCTGTTTCGGCCTAAGTGAAAACCAGGACATTTATCGTTTTCTTTTATTTTCTTTTTTTCTTTGGGGGTGGGGCGTTGTTCAGAATTTTGGAAATAACCGTTAACATCTTTGCTTCTAAAAATCTTCACAACACCTTAGCGGTGTGAAATGAATTCAGATATGAATTTTTTTTTTTAATATATAAAATTGATTTAAAAAGAAAACACAAATATATTATTGCAATCGATATAGAGATTTTAATTATTTTTATACGTAAAATGTACTTGCACAGTGGCTGTCCCCCCCCCCATTCACTTCATTTTAAACTGAACGCGTTAACATTTTAAGTGACACTGATAATTAACGCCTCAGGTTGAACAGGTGGATATCTCGGATTCGTCGTCAGATTATTTTGTTTGCTGATTCAGCACAATATCAAAGTTGTCTGTATTTCAAATTTGTGAATTCTTTAGTTTGATGAATAACATACACTGTTTAATGGGTATTGCAGAAAATTCAGAATTTTACAATTCGTAAATGTGGCGTCTAAAATTTAGGAACGATCATTCGGCCCTTCTTAATTAAAAAAATAATTCATACCCTTCTTTTTCATAGCATCGATTTCTCAAATAATTTATCCTTTTTCTTTTCCTTCCTATTGCAAAAGATTTTCTCCATTATATTATTTTAAAAAAAGGGGAGAAAATGGTAAGAAAAACACATTAGTTATATTTTTCTTATAAAATACTGACTAACAAGATAATTTATTTGTAAACAATTACAATTAATCGTTTGGTATATGATGAAATTTCAAGATATACCAACTTACTTCTAAGACTTAACAATGAGTATCTATTTACAAAATGATTTTTACACGTAGTTATCCTAATCTAATTTTTACAATGATGGCAATTGGTGAGACAGAATTCTGATTTCAAATTCTTCTTTGAAAATAAATGAGGATTATGACGCAGTAAGCGAGTGTGTCATGAAATCTTTTAAATTTCTTTGAATGTCAAGTAAATATAATCCTTCACGAATTAATCATTAGATAGGGAGCGAAAATTTTTGGTAACTTTATCTGGGTTGATTTTATTATTTATGTGATTTTGGTACGGCAACTTTAGTTTTTGTAGTTCTATTTTTATAGTATCATATTTGGATTCCGGTGAAAGGAGAAAGCTAATTCTTTTAATAGTGTGGTAACTCAGATGCATATCAAGAATGCTCTGATTTGATCACGTGAAATGATTAAGCTCAATGAGGAGTTAACGTGAATGAAACAAATTCTCTCTGAGATTTACGGGTCGTCCACGGTTTTTTATGTGTACTGCCTCACGAATTACGGATTAGGTTCTTGTTTATTGAGTAATATAAAACAATTTATTTGTCGTGAAACTCAGTGAGGTGATCAAACTGAATGTCTGGGAACTTTTTAAGGCGGATGCTGAAATTACCTGCACTCTAACTAAAAAAGTAAGATGCAAGCCATAATTTGAGCAATACTTGGATTCACGACACACGCTAAATATTTTTCTTGTGGTATTTGCATGAATCTGGGTCCCAAAATTACCGCATAATATTTAATGACTTAAGAACGATGAAGTGTTCTGAGTTATTACACTAATGTACGACTGCTGTTAGTTCTTGACCGCATCTTAAAATGCACGTATTTTTTTTTGTCTTGGTAAAAAATATGCATCATTGGTAATTCAAAGAAAACATTAACAATATAAAAAACATCAGTCTACATGATACAAATCCTATCAGACTCGCTATCTTCGAAATACATACCGGTTTCATCAGCGTAACACGTCAATTTGAAGGTGAAGAAATTGACCCCTTCATGATATATCTCAAACTTGAATGAGTATCATTATTTTATTAAGTAACCCCGGCCATCTTTAAAATTTGCTTATTGCACAAAGTCTCAGGTTGGAGTTCTGGACGTAAGGTGTAAAATTAAGCGCAATATTTCATTCATACTTTGGTTCAGTACTTATTTATACAATCCGATCAAATAGGCACTCAAAGTCTACTCAGTTCTCCACCCATTTTTACTTGCCATAAAATGCGTAGCCCCTGAGATTAAAAGGTCTCGCTTTAAGTAGTTACATTTAAAGGTTGAAATATTTAGTTGGAAATATAAGGGAATGTCGATCAGCTGAATGATTGAAGGTGAAACGCAATGGATCAATTGCATTTCCCTTGAAAATATTGCTATAACTGTCAGCAATATTCAAATAAAACCCAAAAAATGTCGTTATAAAACAAACATTTCAACCGTCTGCATTCGGCTAAGAAGTTACGAGGGCTGGTGGTCATTAGTGATAGGTGTGAAAACTAAGGAGACATGCCTAAAATTGTCTTGTACGCAAGAGTGTCCCTAAAATTGCAAATTATGTCCTCGCAAAAAAGAATCAATCTGTCCATTGGCTAGATTCGTCCTCTGGTCGGGCGAGACGAAGAAGAAGTTAGGGGGAGCGGGTCCACCGGCTGGGGCGGGCAGTCTTTGGGAGGCAGCGAATTTCGGCTCAGGCGGAAACCTCTGCACGCTGGCAAGAGGCTCCTGGTTGAACTTCTGTGGAGAGGGATCCAGCAGGGTTGGTGGTATCCTCTGGAGGGTGGCGGCCTTCTGCTGCTGCTGGTTGAAGAGGTTCGAGGACTGGCTCACCTGCTGAGCGTGCTGCTGCTGGAACAACTGCTGATTGAAGACAGGTACAGGTGGTTGCGGGGGGAACGGACCCCTAGGGAAGAAGTTGAGCTGCTGAGGGGCGGGTTGCGGGAACGGGGACGCCTTGGGGATCGACTGGAAGAGCACGGTCTGGTACTGACCGGTGGCGGGGTCGAAGACCAACTCCGTCGAGTAGAGCGGGTTGCTGCCTGCCGGTTTGCCAGGGGCCTGGGGTTTCGGTCCACCGACGACATTGTTCTCAAGCTGGAAGTTCTTGAAGTTGGAGTCGAAGTTGGGTGACGGGGTGGTAGGAGAGGGGGAAGAGCCGATCGTGGACTTTGTCTGGAAGAATTGGGGTTGGGGTTCGCTGTGGAGGAGCTGCGGGCGGAAGGTAGTGGCAGGGAGTTCAGGGGTGGTGGGTCGTAGGATACGGACGGAGGAGCGGACGGGTTGGGGTTGGGTGGGGGCCGGGTTGGTGGGCTTAGGCCTGGCGGCGCGGAGGATGGCGGGCTGGATGTCGTCGTCGATCTGGTTGAACCCGGGGAAGGGGCGGACGTAGCCGGGGCGGGGAGCCGGCGTGGGGGCGTTCTCCTGTTCTTCGGCGGGGTTGTAGTCCGCCTGGAAGAGGGTTGTTGTGGGTCTCTTCTTCAGCGGGCGGATTGGACGCTGGGGGATGTTCTCGGGGATGTTCTCGCGTTCACCACTCGCCTGGTTGGAGTTGAGCTCTTCATCCTCTTGGTTGACGGCGTTCGGGTCGCAAGGGTTGCCGGAGACGTAGGTGAACTCTCGTTTGTTACCGTCGGGGTCGATGTAGCCGTACTTGCCGCGGACGACGCAGTCCGTGCCACGGGTCTCCTCCTTGAAGGAACCGTCAGCGGCTTCGTACCCGAAGGTGAAGGAGCCGTCGTCGTTGAGTTTGTTGTAGTTGCGGATGGTTTGGACGGGCGGTGCGCGCGGCTCGGACTTGGAGCGCGGCGTGGGGAGGGAGGCGGGCGCCGGCCGGAGCTGAGCCCGGGCGTACTGCTGTCGGCTCACGAGTTGGGGTTGTTCTTCCTCCTCTGACTCCTCTTGGGCGGCGGCGTAGTACTCGGCCCGGAGTTGGGGGGCCGCCGTCGGTTCGGACTGTTCCGGCTCTGAGGGACGCACTCTCACGCGGCGGCTCTGCGCGATGACAGAGAGCACGCTCAAAGACAGGATCTGAAACACAAATTCAAAATGTCAAATGTGAGTGGTCGGCTAGCTTTTGAGAGGTTCTGAAATTGGACAATTTAATCATGTACGGAGAAAAAAACGTTGGTTACACGCCAATTGGACTGGCCATGGCACACGGAAAAAAAGACCTCATGCGTGGGACCCGAAGTTTAGGTCGTATGGATCTCTGAAGTTTTCGGATTGAGCATCTGAACACTTTGGGTCTAGCTGTTGAGGTTCGGATCACACATTTGAAACTTCAGTTCTTACATCTGAAGTACTTCAGATGTGAGAACCGAAGTTTTCCGGATGTGAAAACCGACCAGCAGCTGGACCTAAAGTGTTCAGGTGCTCAATCCGAAAACTTCAGAGCTCCATATGACCTAAACTTCGGGTCCCACGCACGAAGTTTTTTTCTCCGTGCATGGCGCACTGTATGACCCGCTAAAGTTTCCACTTAAGTTAACTGAAAATTCTCAGTTATCACTGTTATCAAGAGAGCACAAGGTTGTTGGATGATGTGAACATTTTCAATTAATTGTAGTAGTGCCTTAATTAATTGTGGTAGTAACCCAATGGATTGTGGAAGTAACCCAATGAATTGTGGTAGTAACCCAGTAAATTAGGTCAGTAACCAAAATTTTGCAGTACTACCCCAAATTGAGTTGCGGCACTACCAACACAATACACAAATACACACACAATAAATAAATTGCAACACAATTAATTTGAAATATTCGCTTTATCGAACAGACGGGGTGGGTACTGCAATTTTAGGGAAGAACCCTAACAATTTTCCTCCACAATGGGTACCGAACTTTAGTTCAGAGAACTGAAGTTTTTCGTAAAAAATTTAAGTGTTCTTATAAACTTCAATTATCTTAACTGAAAATTTCAGTGGGGCATATGGGCTGAAGTTTTTTTCTCCGTGTGTACAGTGAAATGCAAATTTTGTAAAATAATGATTGATACGCATGGTTCCACTTGTAGATTAGTTAATACAATTATGTGGATCCAAAGCCAAATTCTCGCGAATCGACGAAGATACATATTCGTCGAGTGTTTTTGATCGTTTTGTGAGTCATACGTTATCCATTTCAAAAAATACCCCATCATTTGCATACCTAAGTGCGCCAGTAGAATATTGCACAATTCAAACAGCTGACTCAGCTTTTAAAAAGCAATCCAAGTGAAAGAATCGAAGGAAGAGACAATTGCACAGGTGTGGCGAGCATAGAGATCAAGATGTTGATCAAAAATCCCGCACAGCAGTAGGTCCGCAAACAGCGTAATCAAATCTACGCTAAAATCTTTCTTTCGATCATCATTTTCAGCAGAAATATAAGGTATTATCCATTATTTGGCAACACTGTCGCAAACCACGACCCATATGCGCACGCATATCCCGAATGCCTACGCGTTGAACTAGTTACAGAGGCGACTAAAATATTGCAGATGACATAATACAATTTTTAATACTTTGCCACCACCTCATAACGGAGGCAGTCTACCCATAAAGCTTCTTTTATCACACCTCATTCATGGCGGGTGCCGTGTATGCGGTGTTGCCAGCTCATAAAGGGTGAGGAATTCATTTCAGGGATCTTGGTGGGGTAGGTTAATAGATCCTCTGTTATCAGTTATTAGTACTTAAGTTTAGGGCAAGTAAGAAAAAAGAAGGAACATAAATATGTGTCATGCCTCAAAAATGTCAACTTTCATGCACCACCGATGCAAATGTGCAGTCATGAGGGTATCAGATAAAATTTGCCTATTCACTGATTTAGGCCTGGAGTTTAATGAGAGAGACAATTCTAAATTGAATCAAATCAACAGGAGGTAGATATATGCCTTAAAATTCGGTTTTGGAGTCCATTAACTCTATGATAATAACAAACAAACGAAAAAAAAAATAAGCCGAATAATTCAATCAATGAACAGTCGTTAAAGATCCATGACCTTTTCGACTTAATTGACTTGAACCTTAAATCGTTTGCTCTTGAAGCGCAAATCTACCTAACTAATATGTCGATCTTACAGCGTTTCTGTGCGCTCTGCGACACCCAACCGCCACTGATATAGCAATCCTGTCCGAGCTCCTCCGGCAAATCGCATCTCCTCATTTCCTGCCTTATTCCACCAATCCACGATTTGGTAGGGCGTCTTTTACGTTTTCTGACAGAGGGATCCAATCCAGAGCCTTCTTAGACAACCTATCTGGCATCCTTTGCACATGCCCATACCAGACAAGCTGTTTCGTGAAAATGTCATGCACTATGTTATATTCGACGCCCATACTTGATTTGATTGATTATTTTGAATACAACCCGAGTAAAACTTAAAATCAGTCTTAAATTGAGGTGGTAGCGGCGAATGGAATTATTTACCCTGGATTCTTCTCAACTCTCTTTTAAGACATAAAGTTCCCGACCAGACACTCAGAGCCAACAAGACATTTGATTCAAAAGCCCGAGCTGCGGATGGTCGTTCAACATGCAAAATGATCATCGTCTGTTAATGGTCTACCGATCGAGACCGAGAAAGCACGACATTGTAATACAGGAAAGTATCCGCTACAATGTAGGGTCCGAAGACGCTTGCAATATGCAATAAGCGAGAAGTCACCGGCTGACAACGAAGTTATTAAATCAGGACTGGTTCATTCTCGGAGGCTAGCGAACCAAACAGGCTTCAGTTATGATAATTGTCCGTCTGTCGTCAACTCTCGCGTGCCGTCCTTTTACTGGGACACATCACGTCAATCACGTCCAGCGTCGCGTCGCGCCGTCAGCTTTGCAGCTTGCTTCGGACTCGAAAGAGCAACGGACAAGGTCTGAATTGAATCGCCACAATGCGTGTTTTCTCTTCGAATTTTCATGCGAGAAACGCTTTGCACAAAGGAGAGACTGTTTAAGTCAAACATTTGATGGACAGACGAAGCGACGGAATCCCATAAAACAGTTTGTATACGACTGATTCCCATCGGCAACTAATCAGTGTAACTTTTTGTTAAATGGTATGAAAATAATGACGCTGGAAGTGGAGCGACGTCTCATCAATTGATAAAACTCGCTTGTATTCGCCGATATTTTTCCGCCTCCATTATTATTGATAGCGACCTAAATTTTTCAGCGAGCTGCCCGCAAAACGCTTTTCCGATACTCATTTTAAACAAAAGACCACTGACTTCGCGAATATCAACGACAGGGCCCCTTGGAAGCTCCGTAGGAAAGTGGCACGCACCACAATTATTGTAAAACTACACGGATGCATCTATGTCGACACGTAGGAGCTGTTTCTGCCTACGTATTGAAATGTAGGAGAAACTCGTACGATGTCAAATTCGAGAGTATGACATCAGGAGAGAATCACTCTTATGTTTTACACTCCTAAAGGACCATACATCTACCATACGAGGGAAGCGTCAATTGTTTTTTAGTGTTATGCTTTAACCGTTAATTGTAAATAATGACTATTTTTTGTGGATTGTTGCCTCCAAATTTTTTGAAGAGCTTAAATTTTCGTGACTAGGAAGACACTAGACTCCACTCAGTGGCAATTCCAACAAGTTGGCATCATTGTTTTTTTTTCCATTCAAAAATATGTAAAAAAAATCAATTCCAAGTAAAGTATCTCATATGAAATCGATATTTATAGTGGATTTGAGTTGGAGAGAGACAGAAATCGCCACCGATCTCCCTTTAAGTGACATTGAAATGCAACAAAACCACATTTTGGAACCGAAAAAGAAATTCTGTTATGGGGTTGAAAACCCCATGACAAAACTCAACTTACGGCGTCATCCTACAACAAACATGCAAGAGCCTCAAAACTGGGTCACATTATTTTGAACCAAGATTAGACTTTGAGGAAAGGTCAAGGTGCCCACACCGCATCGATGCTTGTTGAACTGGAACGTAGGTTCAAACTAAATGCCGCTGCGGTGAACTTTGAGGTTTTTAAAGCATTCGGAGAATGCGCCAACTGTAAGGCGGCTTCGGGTTATAGGTTAAGCATGCGCTGTCGCGCCGCATTCTAGCCGGCCGTGCTCGCAATATTCTTTGGTAAATTGGCCGTACTTATGCTGGAAGGAACCATGTGCACATTATTCAAAAAAAAAAAAAAAAAAAAAAACTATGACACATTCAGGGCACATTACACATAGTTTCTTTTGACTGATTTTTTTTGTGCATGGTTCCTTCGGCATGAATATATTCATTTTCCAATCGAAGATCACTTACAAAAAAAGTGCTATTTATATTCTCACTGAGGATACATAGCTTATTGCATTAGTGGGCATCAGAGAAAAGTTGCATAATGTTCAAGTACTGATTTAGCTTTAAGCTGTTTTGCGCTGTTTAGTGGCTGGGTCATTGTTCCAGTCGTATAGATTCGTGTTTTGATTATTAAAAAGAAATCAGCCTTTTTTTAAGAGCCAATTTTGTTCCATCCATTAATGATGGTAATGTTGACCCTTGAAATACGTGACGATTCACGCCGTCCATACAGAGGTAGTAAATATTGTCTTATTTTAATAAACAAAGATATACGCGGAGTGACCAGAATGTAATGCATCGTTGATTGTCACAGTCACGGCAGGAACGACTGTTACTGAACTGGTCAGAACCGAGTTTAATTATATGCTAACACAGCAAAATTTTGGTCAAAGAATTCTTTAAATTCCTGAAGTAAAAAAAGTGAAAGGCAGCTGCCGTCGATAAGTAAAGAAAGTTATCGTCAGGTAGAACTTTGCATCATTGAAATTCACGTAGGCCCATATGGCTCCAACACCTACCAATAGACGACGCTACAATTTCTAGTGTTTCTGGAATTTTATACATTTGGGTCATAGTTTTTTTAGCTTTTATTGGTTCTCAGCATTTTTTTGTGGCAGTCTGCCAATCTGAAAATATTTTTCACTTGATTCATTCGATATTTTGAGCACTGGTCCAGTCACTAACAGACGCCGAGACAAATCAGTTTTGTTGCACACTGTGCGTCGGTCC